GAGTGAAATTGTTCCTATTTGATTAATATTTGGCTTGAATTGATGATTCAATCACAAAAGTAAGTTCAACAATTTTCCCTTGGAAAATCCCTTGTTTACAGAACTTGATTCAACCTCTACGACAATTATGTGTTGGATGCAGTACTTTGGGACATCTTGTATTATTCCCTACTCCATTGTACACAACATCAATATCTCACTTGTATAGGGTCATTCCCTTTTTGTGTGGATGTAGATTGTCCAACAGACTTGCGTCCAGCATACTTGCGTCAAATCCCGACATCACGATCAAAGTCCGATCGTACGTGTCAAAAACTTCGTACTTGAATAGTTTCTTTTTGGAACGGAAAAACTCATATTTTGTCATATCCCAACATCAAGCAACTTGGAGCAAATGTCAAACCAGGTGCCAAAGAGACAAGCGCAATGTACCGTCGCCAGTTAAGCAACTTAAATAATCAACCCCATTTCAAACTTTCTTCAAACAGACAGAATGGATATGCTGGACTTGAGATGACCTCCAAGATGGCAACCGTTCGAAAGAACAACAAAGGATTCACTCCAAGACAAGTCAAGGCTACTATGGAAGCAAGAAGTGTGATTCACATACTCAATGCTCCAAGCACCAAAAGTCTGAAGTATGCAATCCGATCTGGTCTCATCAAGAACTGTCCTATCACTGAAGAAGCAATCAATCATGCCAAAGCAATCTTTGGACCTGACGCCTCTACATTGCTACAACTTCTTCAGTCCACCAGAGGAATTGTATCAACATAATCGATCTATTACCGTCTGTATTGATTACATGGAGATCGAGAATGCCAAGTTTCTCACCTGCATTGATACCACTGTACGTTATCGCTCATGTATTCCCGTGCAGAACCTGAAGACTGACCCTGTATTTGAAGCATTGGATAAGATATTCCGCCGCTATAACAAGGCAGGCTTTCAAGTCAAGACAATCAAGTGTGAATGGGCTTTCATTCCTCTCACTGATGATATGCTAGACAATATGGGTGCTACTATTGACCCGACTGCAGCTGGAGACCACAAGCCTACCGCTGAGCAAAACAATAGGACGCTGAAAGAAAGAGTCAGAGTATTGCTTGCACAATTACCCTACAAAGTGGTCCCAAAGGTGATCACTGAATGTCTTGGACGTTGAGCCGCCGAGCTATTGAATGTCTTTCCCCAGAAAGATAGTATCTCATCACATTTCAGTCTGCAGCAACTCATTGATAATGTCAATATCAACTACAAGAATGACATGGTTGCTGAACTTGGACAATATGTTCATGCAATTGGGACGGATTCCAGCAATTTGATAGAACCCCGAAGTATCAAAGGGATTTACATTGAACCTACAAAGGGACAATGTACTGGGCACCGACTGCTCAACCTCAATACTAAGAAGATGATTTCCTGACCCAAGGTCGTTGTACTACCCGTTACCGATCAAGTAATCCAGCGTATTGAAGCTTGGGCTGCTGTCAAAGGTGGTACTTCCATGAAGTTCTTCGATAAGAAGCAAGATTTGGAGACATTTCAAGATGGCAATCAAATCGCAGGAGTGGATGACATGGAACAAGGTTACTTAGAAGAAGCCTTTTATCAGGACTATGAACCTGAAGATGAAGATGAACGTGATTTCAATCTACATGGACAATTTGATGATATTGATATATTACTGATGCATTAATCGTATTAAAACTTTCTCAAGTTTCTAGATTGCTGTTAACGGCTGTCATGGCCATTTACCATACGGAGGTGAGTCCAGTACTGTTGAACCAGTGTGAGGCATCCAATCCCAGGGAAGTTGCTCTCATCGGATAGTACATTGCACCCTTGCACATGTAGAAACGATCTTGCCACTTGGGGCGGCGTATTTTTATTTTGTTTTTTGAGTTTTTTTAAGGTGGTGGTGGGCGTGATTGTGTAGCAGGTGGGAAGCCAATTGTTCTTGCGCCCTAATGCCCTGGGCGTATCGATCCAAGTGAATGGAGAGCGTCCCAATGGCACAGTGTTCCAGAACAAGGTGGCGACCATCTACATGACAGACTGCAGTTCCCTAGTCCTGTGGTCGACAGAGGGAGAGTGAAACATAGAGGGACAGAGAGATGGCCGAGACATCTGACTGTTTATGGACTAGC